GAAACTGTGTTAGTAACTAGAACAAAACGAGTACACCAAAAATAAAAGTTTGACGCAACGTGAGGAGATACACGAGAGGCATCAGAGAGATAATTTACAGCCACAACTGAACCCGCAAGTCAATGCAAGATCACCGAGCACCTGAAAAGACAGGTTTTAGAGGCAAAATGGAGAAGAAAGGTGATAGAAAACAAAGCCCAAAGCGATTCCATCCGCCATCATAGCACATCCAAAGCACCCAATGGAAGCCCAAAAGGTCTAATGCAGAAGGCTCGCCCTGTCATGCAACACTAATCAGTGTTAGCGATACTTGACAAGTCAAGCCTTCTCAGTCTACTCCTGAAAATATGACTACTCTCTGCACTAGTGGTCTCAACCGGGAGGTGCGAAAGCCACCTAGCCGACCTGTAGAACACGTTGTTGAACATCAGCAAGTATCTCTTGCGCCGGATTCTTGGATATTGCAAGTTAAAAGAGCCTGACCTTTCGCTTGTAGGAACAAAAATCCAGTATTTACTGGCTTTTAGCTTGTTCTCTCTTCTCAGAACTTGAAAACAGAATACAAGATCCAAGAAAGCACGACGGTTTGTTAAGGATTTCATATGAAACCTCTCAAGCCGGGTCTGGTAATCGGGAGGGGTGGTTCCGGGCGATAAACGTCTATGCAACAGTCGTGTAAAAAGCTGTTGAACCTTTTCAATTCTGCGAATATCCTTTTTACGAAAGGGGGACCAGACCTGAGAACAGTATTCTAAATGAGGAAGAACTAATGCTTTATAAAGCGGTATAAGTATCTTCGGAGAACTAGCATTAGTATTGCGGAAAAGCAGAAAGAGTGAAGAATAAGCTCTTTTGACTAACGTATTGATATGCTCAGTGAAGTTAAGATTTGTATCAATCACGACACCCAAATCTCTAACAGTATCACAACACTTCAATATAGAGCCTTTGATGTGATACGCGGTAGTATTTCCACCTCCAAGATGAAGCACTGAGCATTTGTCAAAATTTAACGCTAATTCCCAGACCTCACACCAATTGGTCAAATTATCAAGAGACCTTTGCAAGTCCATTTGAATCTCTGGAGCTACTTCCGGATCATAGACTGCAAAAATCTTTATGTCATCAGCATACATCCGGATGTGTACGCTAGCGGAAGTCTTCAAAGTAGAAGGTAGGTCAAGGGTGTAAATCAGGAAAAGCAAGGGGGCTAAGACACCACCCTGTGGAACACCACTAGTGCAGAAGTACTTTTTGGAGTAACGATGACCAACTCTCACAGTCATATACCGATCATGCAAATAAGAAGTCAACCACGAAAGAAGATTTCCTTTAATCCCTAACTTGTTCATTTTAGTTAGTAATTTAGCATGACAGACCTTATCAAACGCTTTCGAAAGATCAACATAAACAATATCAACCGATTTGCCCTCGTTGATTGCTAAGCTCCACTCAAACACACTATCAACCAGATTTGTTGTGGTGGAAGCCCCATTCAAAAAGCCATGTTGTTCATCGGGGATCAAATCCGAAACCTTTAGCCATTCCAAAAGTTTTTCACGTATGATTCTTTCCATGATCTTAACAGGAGTGGGAAGCAAGCTAATTGGACGGAACTTATCAATTCGACATGCTCCGTCAGTTTTTGGAATTGCTGTAACCAAAGCTTCTTTCCACAAGTCAGGGACTTCCCCCCACAACATCGAAATGTTGAATATATGTGCAAGCGGAGCCGCAAGCGACGAGGCGCATTTTAGGTATACTATCTGAGGGATGCCATCAAATGTTTCAGTTATGGAAGGTTTTAGTTTGATAAGGAACTGGTAGACATTTGCGGGATGAAAATGAACATTATTGCAAAAATGGCGAGGCAGCACTGCATCAGCGCTTATTCTGCCAGCATCACTATCACTGTCATTAATAGCGACAGGAGAGTAAACGCTGGCAAAATAGGCACCAAGAGCATCTGCCTTATCTTTATCGCTAACATAAGAGGTACCAGAAGAATTTGTCAAAGTAGAGAAATGTTGGGAGGGCTTCATTTTATTCTTCAAATACGAAAAAAGATATTTAGACGACTTTCTTCTAGCAAGCATTCGTTCACGATATGACAAATATTTTTTTATGTGATAATCTATATCAGCACAAACTTTTTTATACAACGGGCAACTCAAAGGATTGGGCAGAGTATCAAAAAGACGTTGTTTTTGAGATATTAAGGCACGAATGTGTGGTGGCAGGTCGATCTTATGAATACCAGGAACTTTGACCCTAATCGGAACAAATTTGCTAAAGGCTTCATAAACTGTTAGGCAAAATCTTTTGTAGACTTCAGAACATGAGGTATAATTATTGAATAAGGAGAGCCAATCTACACTAAAGAAGTAAGAATTAAGAGAGGAATAGTCAACACTGAGAAAATCAGGCAAAGGTAATGTGGAAGCAGAGGAATTCGAAAATTCTATCTCGAAGGTGACAATTCTATGATCCGAGGACCCAAGCGGCTGAAGTGTGCCCACATGCGAGATGAGCGGAAAGGCCGAGAGCACAATGTCGAGAGTATTGCTATCATGAGTCGGTGAGGTCACATATTGTTTTAGTCCACAGTTGTTTACAAACTCCAGAAAAGGGCAAGAGGCAGCATTGAGGGATTTCTTGGCCATCCAATCAATTTGCAAATTGAAATCTCCGAGTATGATAGTTGGAATGTTCTCAGAAGCAAAATTGCTAAGAATCTCCAGTAATTCATCATCATCATTACTATTCGAATTAGGTGGGCGGTAAACCGTGATAAACTGCATTTGGCACCCTCGGTCAACGTCAAAAACTTTAATTCCGAGTAAATCAGCTTTGATTTCAACGTTCAAATCAACACATGTGGCGAGAAAATGGCTTTTAATAATGCAACAAACTCCACCACCTTTGCGTCTACGTCGATCAGCTCGGTAGATCAAGTATGGTAAACCTCCAACAATTTCAGAATCCAAAATATGAGAATTGAGCCAGGTTTCATTGATAAAAATTAAATCGGGCTTGTGATGGCAGATGAAGCTTTGCAAGAGATGTATTTTGTTACAGAGACTACGAGCATTAAATAGGCATATTTTAGATAGAGGGAGACCATGCACACCTAAGCGTTTCCCTGAAAAGCGTGAGGAAGCGCGGAGATGTGTACCACTTCATCACGGTAGACTACCCACTCTTTTTTCAATTTACCCCTGTTGCGTTGACGAGCTTCGATTCTGAGCTCGTAATCCCTCTTACGCTCCTCTGGAGTCATACTTTTCCTAACGTACACGTTAGGAAAAGCAGAGCGACGCAACAGCCTGGAGTTGGTCAGGGCTGTGCGCCAGTGGGACCTCGATGGCAGCACAACCTTGACCAGCCTTGGCCTAGCGGAGTTAAAGCTGCCCATACGATAGATCTCTACCGGACGGCATTCGACCCTGAGCACCTCCAGGATATTGCCCACCTTTTGCTCAAGATCTTGTTGCCTCTCCTGGTAGCCGACATCCCCCTCAGCCTCGCTGACCCCGCTAAAGACCACACTCCGAGCCCTTTTCTCGGCGCTCGGATCAATAGTGGTCACCCCCGACACCTTTTCACAAAGGAGGGCAAGCAACTTGTCAATCAATGGGTCACTATTCCTCTCACGTATGCAATCGATCAAATTTTCAATCGACATTTCGCTGAAGTCAGACATGACCGTTTGACTACTAGCATCAGCATAATCCCTTTGAGAAGATGAAGATGGACTAGTAGACGAAGTCTTTTTAGAGGTACGCGTACTTCTGGTCATGACTGATTCAACAAAAAGATTGAAAAATCAAACGATCACAAGAAAATGAGCAGCAATGCAGTGAGCAGCAACGTGTGCCACAAAATCACCAACAAGCAAATAAGAAAAACACCACAGAGGATAAAAAAGGAGAGGAAGGATTGAGAGGAATGATAGGCAGGATATATGATTAGATAGATAATCGACCTACCCCACGCGCGAAAGAGTCACAAGATCGATTGGCAACCACCACAAATAGGAAGAAGATAAAATTAAACAAAACAAAAATGGCGGAATATGAGAGGGTGGTGCCAGAAACAACAGTGAGAAGAGAGGAAGGAGTGGAAGCGAAAAATGAAGAAGAAACACGACAAAATCAGAAAAAACTACTGAGGAACGAGGGGCGCTATGACCGCTAAAGGAGATCCGACCGCTCAGCGCGCCGGCAATGATAAGAATGCGTTTTTTTGCGAAATCATGCAGCAAAGCGTGAATTTGGCAGTACAGTCCCTGTTCGGCTTAATTCTGGGGCAAAACATGCAGCTAAATTACTTTACATCAAAAGCCTGGAGGTTAGCTGAGAGTGCAACAACGTGCTCAGTTTCGCAAATTTTGTGTGCGATTTTTTCGCAATAAAACTGCTGATAACTTCGTTCACAAAGGCGCTGAGCAGGTATTTATAGCCTCATCAGCGTTGAATGCTGCCTCGAATGGTAGGCAGCTTACTTGGAATGGCCACTTCGACTTTTGACCATACCCTCGTTAGCTACCTGCGCGTAATATTTCTCGAGCTTCATGTAAGACTCTCTTCTTCAATTCTTTCCTTTAGAAGGGTGCTTTTGCGTAACTCGCCCAGTCTGCTTCTTTTACGACAGTCTGGCTCATCGTTTACACGATCGCCGCAGCGCCGACCAATCAGAGGCGCGAAGTAATTAGGCCTAACGGTGCAGATGGGCCGCCTCTCCCGTATAGCGTCGCGTGGTAGTGCATAGCGCAATGATTCTCACTGCATTGCCCAGTGCCAGGTGGAAGTCGACTATAGCATGTGCCAAATGACTTGCACCACTCTATCCGCTTCTTCAAATAAGGGAGCTTTTAGTTTTCGATCCGCATGATCTACTTTGTTTGTTCGAATGGCAGACTAATGTTTCCTGCGGCATTGCGTCGTTCATCGGTACGATAGCAAAATGCGTACGAAACTGCTTTAATTCAATTACAGTCAATGCGGTATCTACTCGCGAAAACAATACCTATTTTTATCCCAGCTGTGCCTACTTCAGCCGAAACTTTTATAGCTTGGCCATTCATCTATCTACTATACTATGTGGAACTGACTCTCATACTTGTTATGTGTCCGGGCGCAATGCGCTTTTCCTAAAACTCCCAAATTCGAGAAAACTATTTCATAGGAATCTTGTAAGAATTGCGCAGGTAAGTCTAAAATTAGACTTTTTACATTTGGAACAAACATCCCAGTGAAAAAAACATCTCAGAAACGAAGGCTTTTTTTCTATATGAGGCGCACTTCCCTGATATGCGCGACCGAACAATCAAGAGGATATTAATCTTTTTGATTTGTGTTGGCCGAAAAAAGTAACGGAAATGCCGCATGAAAATCTTATTGATTCCTTTATCTTCTTGCAAAAGTGTGCAGAATCCACATCAACGTTATCTTTATGCCATGTTCCACTTTCGCTAATAATTGTGTTTTCACCAGGCAAATTGGTGCTTCGAAAGTGATTTACAAAATCTGTTATGTGAATCGTCTGGATGAGGTATATGAGCAAACGTAGGAGCTTCTAAACATTGTTTTGATCTGCATTGTAATTCTATGTTCTGGCGGCAAAAATATGTGATTTGGCTCAATTGCGGGTGCGCATAATATATGTTTAGGTGGAAAGAGTAGCTCTATCATTCGAAACTTTCAACATAAAAGCAAAGTTTGCGTTGATTGCAACGTAGCGAAATCAAAGATAAGCAGCAAAAATTTCTATAAATCTAACAACTAAAGACTTTACATTCTCTAGAAAGAGCGCGGCTTTATCAAATACGATGTGTCCTAAAAGTATGTACGTACTGTTTGATTGTTGATATAACTCTTTCACAAACCTTTTGCAGGCACCAATTTGTAAAGCTGCCTTCTAAATTCACAGTATGGCGAAATTGTTGGGCTTTTCTACATCACTAAAAGACTACGGGGAAGTTCAAGAAGGGTCGAGCCATTGAAAGCTACTTTTTAGTAAATTTTCCGTTCAATATAGTGTGTCTGCGGTGCAAGAAGATACGGTGGAATCAGTGGCGTACCGATACCGATAGGGGTGGGGCGGGGGGGGGGCCGAGAACAGGTCGCGAAATTTATGAAAGTTGCTTACATGAACTATAAAATTGTGCAAATAAGTTGTTCATACTTGTAAATAATTAGAATATTTTTTAAAATTTTTTAAAATCCAAATTAGCCCTATAAAAAATTTTTTGGAGCGCGTGGGTGACGCCACGCACCTTCATTAGAAAAATTTTTTTGTCCCCTCCCCCCGAACCGAAATCCTAAGTACGCCACTGGGTGGAATCTGCGCATAAACTTGGCAGGGATCACAAGCGAGCTTTTTGTTCCGCGCAAATCTTGCCGCACTTTCCGGCACCGCAAATACTATAAACTAAAACTGCTCTCAAAATAGAACCGAACAAGCTGAAACTCTTACACTGTGCCAGTCAGGGTTGTTGTCCCGACTATAAAACTTGGATTTCACCGCAGTGCTTGTTTTGTTATGTCATGTGCACCGTAATAGTTGATCTTCAGTATTCTCAAAAAGGTGACTTTAAATTTTGAAAAGATGAAAACTCGTTGATTTACTAGTGACATCAACAAGCATGAAAAACTTGCTACGATTCTCAGATTTTTTTTATTGAACTTCCTTCCGAAAAATGGCTAATTCGCAACATCACTTCATGGTGGAAGTTCCTACCTACCATGATTCTACAGTAATAAAGACTTACAGAATATCAATTATCAAGAGTGTTTACATAGTGTGGATCCCGGCCAGGTTCCCATAGGTATTTCCGCGGCGCGCACGCAGCGCGCACCCTTCCTGATGCTTTTCGCCTCACTCACGAGCAGTAGAGCACATTTATGCTCACAAAGAAGAAAAATGTAAAGTGGAAAACTCTAGGTTTACTTCGAAAGAGACGTATGCAAGAACGAAACGCAGGCAGCCTCTATGAGTACCTTAAATTTGATCAATGGATGCATATTCCAAACTTGCACTGAAGGATAGGTCGTAATAAGTATACGTGGAGAAAAAAAGCGATTTTCCCTTTCTAGCTGAGTGAGTTTCGAGCTCATCGAGAGTAATTTTGATTTTCGTGAAAAACGCAGACCCGAAAATCCGAAAAAATCACGAGGCACGATTTTCGCTCAGCTAGAAAGGAAAGGTCGCAAAACCCATGCTTATGACTTTTTCGCCTTTTCTGTGACGTTTTCAAGCTTTTTTGAGCATGCTCAAAAATTGCAAAAGTGAAGAAATTCTCTTTATTTGGTCCTAACTCTCGATCTACTCGGTTTTAATTCATGAAAAAGGTACAACTGTAATGTGCAGAGAATTTTCTCTATCAAATAAAAATACTTCCAGAATTTTTCGTGATCCAGATTGAAAAATGCCAATTTTGACTGATTTCGTTCAATTGCCTCTATCTCTGGAACTTTTTGATACCAATTAATGGCAAGGGCACTGCTGTAAAGAGAAAGGCTTCCTCTTTCAGATGAAACTGAATTCAAGAAAATCCATTGAGTGGCAGGGAAGTTATGATTTTTTGAAAATCCGGCGCAAGAACTTTTGGGACAACCTAATACTTTTAATGTACCCTGCATACTGTACTGTTCCAAAAATACGTACAGATTTTCCGAACCTTAAAACTACTAAATAATGCAGTGCTAAAAACGCATATTACTGTTCTGGGAGAAGATAGAATCCGCCTCAGCAACTTGTGCATCCAGCAATGAATCTCAAGTTTACAATCAAGCAGCAATTGTGCATAATTAATTACTGTGTAGTACAAAATTGGGCATAACTGAACACTGCGTTTCCTATAATAGCTCAAGAATATGTATTTAGTGCCATCTCGTTATTGTAACCATGTCGCAGGTTTCGCGAATTTATATCATCATTTACGACGTCGGAATAATAGAAAGAAAGGGTAAGCCGAAATTTGTTGCTTACATTCATCGGGTTTACTAACTTTTACGTGACATACTTTGCTGCGATGAGCATACCTACATTCACATTCAGAATCTGTCAAATTCACGTTATTCATTCTTTATCTTGTAAGGTACATACCATTGTGCAGTTTTCTCACTATGATTCCTGCGATTGCGGCCGAAAGAACATTTGCTTCAAAATATATTAGTGATTACGAGCACAAAGATCGTTTATGGATCTCACACTTAGCCAATGGCGGCTCAATAGTGCTTGCTGCTAATTTTTATCTACTCGTTGAGCTTTTTTTCATTGGTGAGCCTTTGTTCTGCTTCTAAATTGATCTTTTAAACTTGAAAAGACAACAGCAAATCAGCTGTTAATGCTTGGAAACTATAAACATAATTGCATGCTTTCCTGTAACTTTTAAAACTCACAATGATATAGCTTTGATAGTGCTTGGAGTTAAGAGAAAGACCAATTTGACGTAGTCTAAGCTTTTCATAAATCGTCATCAATTGTAATGGTAAATAATTACAGACATGTTTGCTATGGTACCCTTTACTATTCTCACTTTGTCTTTTTTCGTTATCTCATCAGTAGCCATTCAAATGGTGTATAAACGTGATGCTGCCAAACTTCGCGATCTGGCAAACAAAACTGGTCGTTCAACAATTAATTACACGTTGAGTATGAAGTTCCAACTAAGCGAAAATGTTCGGGTTGCAAAGGTAAGTTCCCTGCTTTTTTTAAATGCGATTTATGTTTGAAACATGAGGGGAAGATGCACTACTCAAGTTCTCATATCCTTTATGCCTAAAAACTCGCTAGTTCCCATGCTAATTTATTTGGTTTAAAATATTCATTTAATAGGACAATTCAAACCATGCAAGATGGCTTCCAAAGATCATCCGCACCAACCTTGATCTACATTAGATTCGATTCCAAATCTAGCAGTAATCTAGCAGCAGGGTGTCCCTAATGTCTTGTAGCCTAGTTTGCACTACTAGCTTACAATTCAGTAGTAGTTCTGACTCGCCACAGAATAGGTATTTGCGAGTTCAAAAATCTCCAAATTTATTGAGTGGGTCCGAAAGTTCTTGCCGTTTTCGAGACCTATCTTCTAAAATTGTTCAAAATAAAGATAGACAAACGCTTAAGACAGTGTTCAACGTAAAATTTCTTCCTCTTCCACGGCGGTGTTTTAGTTTGGATTTCTTTAATGTTCGCACGATAATCGTCAGGATCTCCAATCCATAATTTCTACTTACCCATATTTTCGCTATTGAGTTGTCCCAAAAGTAAATTCCTCTTCCGAAGAAATCAAGCTGAATCAAGCTGTCTCTGTTTTCCTAGCAGACTTAGGAGATCATTCGATAGAGCAGATCAAGCCTACAGAATGACCACGAAAAATCTGTGTGAATTGCCACCTATGTAAAGTTTGAAGTTGGAATCGAAAAATTTAATATATGAAAACTGGGTTTTTGCGAAAATATATGGACCTCCAACTTGGTCATTATACAGCGGGCACATAGTAGTACTCAAATATGCCTTTACTGGATTTTTCAGCGCATAGAAAGAGAAGAAAGAAATAGTCCAAAGTGGATAATTCTGCCCCCAGTTCCTCCCATTTCTTTGTATACTACAAGCGTTCGTAAATATTCTTAGAACTTTACCCCTGTATGTGCTCTCAAATCGAGAACTACCAAGTTTTACATGAAAAACCCGAAAAAGTGGCGTTTTCGGATCACCTTTATTCCTTAGTTTTTCCGCAAGAAATCCATCAAACACATTTTTAGGTACTACTATGTGTCTACAGTACAATGACCGAGTTGGAAGTCCGTAGCAATTTTTTGGAAAAAGATCCGATTTTCAGAGTAATTAGAAGATTTTGATTTTTGGCTCCAAATTTTTCTGGATTACAACTTAGGTGGATATCTGATGGTTTTGTAGAGCTTGTTCCGCTCTACCGATCGTTTTCCAGAGCCTATAAGGAAAACAAAAACAGCCTAATTTATTTGGAAATTAGCTGGCTTACTCTGCTCCGGCCGACCCTGTCAAAATACTAAAGGTCCCATCCCTATCGTACAACCTTTCACTGTGCCCACTTCTACATGCCAATTCCCTATTCCTGCATTAGTATTTAGCATGCTATCTTAGTCCCTGCCAAATCACAGCCCCGTAGCTCGGACTTTGCAAAAAATTGATAAAATCGATAGAAAGCGTAGATTTAGCTAATCGTAATTCGTAATCAGCATGCTCGATTACTCCCTTGTGCCGACTCCCATCCCCGTAGCTCAAAGTTTGCAAAAAAATCGGTAAAACGAACGGATAATTTCATAAACTAATGTTGTATTCGTAATGCATGCTCACTTACTCCCTGTGCCAACTTCTCTATCAAAACACATTTTCCAAGCGATTCAAGCTATTTCCATGATGGTAGGAATTTGATAATGACTACCTGCGTGCCACGGCAATGGCCATCCTTAACACTTTGGATGCTAGCGTTGACGGCTTTTTCATGGTATGTTGTATTGTTGTATGTATAAGTAGTGCACCAAATTTCGGTTCTTATAATTCAATTCGAATTTGTTTATCGAATGGATATACACGAATAAGTTCGAAAATTAGAAATTTCGATAAACGATTATCGAATCATACTCGAAAAATAAGTAATTAAACGAATATAGACTTTAAGTTTTGAGAATTTCGAAAAACGAATACCGAATAATATTTAAATATCAAACTTTTTCGAATGAACGAACATCGGTCATTTTCGAACATTGAGGATTGAATTTTTCAAATATTAGAATGATTTATTCGAATGGCTAGACATTCGGATAAATCATTCGAATATATAGTCGAATGAACTATTTGAATATTTACGACAACTATCTTTGAAACTTGCTGACATACCTGCCTCGGCCGATGCGGCTCTGCACGGAATCTAAACAGTTTGAATGCAAATTTCAGTCGAATACGACTTTGAATGAAACATTCGAAGAAAACCTCAAAATAATACTCGTTCAAAATCTCGACTTTTGATAGTCCGAAATTTCGAATTTCATTAAAACCCTTTTTTGATTATTCTAGTTTTCGAAAATTATTCAAAACCGAGTTTTCAGATTTTCTACTGAAAATGAAATATTCCGAGTATCTAATTCGAATAAATTATTCGAAGCAATCTTTTTTTTTGATATGGACCAAAAGTGTTATCTATGTTGTTCCGCTCTGCTTACATCTAATACTAGTCTACAAGACTTTTGAGACAACCTGTAACATATCATAAATAGGTACTCCTTTGGAAAAAAACTTGCGCCCTTTAATTCGCTTTCGCATAAATCATATATTAGGTTGATGCATAATTTCTGCATCATGGGTACAGACAGCAATAATACATGTTTTTACTATACCCCAAGTAATTCCTGATATACCATCCGTTAAAGCAAAGCTAGCTTTACAAGATAGTGCTTAAAGTTTTGCAGCAGCTTTGATCCGAACGAAGCCAAAAACGAAAGAGTTCTTAGCGCCCCAAAAAACGAAAAAAAATCGATAGTCCGTCCAAAAGACCCTTTAAAAATTCGAACTTTCTCATGCATTGGCATTCCGTATAAGACATTTCTCTATGCAGTTGCTGTATTTTTCTCTCACCTAGAAATTGAGAAAACGAATTCTTTATGTTTTTTTTTTTCAAAGCAATGCTGAGACACTGTTTTAGCACTGACAGTTGTATACTATAGGACTTTGGAAGCATGAGTGTGAATTTTCAGCTTTTTGCAGCAGCTTGTTTGCGAGAAATATCGAATTTTTGGCAATTAGGTAAGAAAAAATTCGAAAGGAAGCTGGATTCGATATATCTCGTGAACTAGCTCTTATATAAGGCTGAAAATGCAAAGTTTTACTGCTAAAAGCATGTAATATACAATTGTTAGTGCTAAAACATCTCAGCACTGGTTTGGCAAAAACAAGGAAAACTTCGTTTTCTCACCATCTAGCTGAAAAAAATTACAGCAACTGCATAGACGAATGGCTTACACGTGGAGCAAACAAGAACTGTTGTAAGAGTTTTTTTTCAAAAGGGTTACAATTTTGCTTTGATTTGCCTCAAGGTTTTTGAACGCATAGGTTTTTTTTCAGTTTTCGGCTTAAAACTTCGCGTGGATCAAAGCTGGTGTAGATATTTGAGCACTATCATGTAAAGCTAGGTTTGCTCTATTCAATGATATACCAAATCCTATCTAGGATGTAGGAGAATTCCGGATTATTGCAGTCTGTACCTATTTTGGTGCAGGAATTACACATCAATCTAATATACTATGTATGCGTATTGATGTGGCAAGCTGTAATTTTGTGGCCAAGATCGAGGAAAAACAACCATCAAACAGTCAAAGCAATTCTGAGCTTTTTCCGCATAGTATCCAATGCTACAAATCTAGGTCAAAAATTTTCTCCGTTTTTGAAATGGCACGCGAATCCCGTACAGTAGAAATCAACAGGCACCTTAAGCTGTATCTGATGCAGAATTTCTTCCTCTTTCCAGCTATCATTCTCTCATGTCGCTACCGTACGTTATAGATGTGAATAAACTCCTTCGCAGAAAACTGTAATCCGCGAAAAGTCTTCATTCGCTTATTGAAACATTTTTCAATTTTTTCAATTTTTCAAGGCTAATAGCTTCTCATTCTACTTTATTTATTTGTTTATATTATTCACATTTATTCATAATCAACGGTCTACATTGAAAACTGTGATATTTTTGAGTAAGGCTTCATTGGTAAGTGTAGACATACTTCAAGATATCGCTTTCTCGCTCTACACTTCACTTATTAAGCAGAAAGTTGCTATCATTATCGCACAGGCATTCCAATTTCTAACGAATGTTGTATGAAGATTTACCAAAATGATAATGAAGGTATCATGAGTGCAAAGTATTACTGTTAACTTTTTTAGTGGCTCTTCTATGCATCGATCGGCTACTCATTCTGGGGACTTTGCGGTCTATTTTTGTGTATCCCTTGTTTTCTCATCTATAAGGAAGACAATCCCGTTGCACAGCTTCTATTCCAACTTTTGAACGTCTACATCGCTTTGTGAGTTTTTATGACTTATGGTAAAGAATTTGCCGCCGAAAGTTTTTGCAACTTTCAACATTGTTAGCCTATACATTGCTATTATTTAAGCAGTGCCCGTCTCTTTACTACATTTGCTACAACTTCATGCATAATTCAGTGCCAACATTTTTAGATATGCTATCGTAAGCACAAATTCTTTGCTGGGCAGAGTATCCCTGAAGGTATTTCAAGCTTTTGACTAGTGTGTAAAATCCGTCCGCGCTTTTCTATTTGTTGATAATGGCAAAAAAACCATCCACAGGAAAAAGCGAGAACAAAGAGCCCGTGATAGTTTTCGAACAGATGTAATATAGAGTAAAACGGCCTAAGCAGTGTTACTACCTCTAGATGCTGAAACCACCAACTTTCGCGCACATATCCCATCAAAACAAAGTTATCGAGTTTAGTTATTTTCAGGTCTTTTGCTGTTGTTTCTTGGCTATGCTCAGCAGCCATATGCAATTCTCGCACATTGTATAGACTGTTACCATGCTGTACGAATCCAGTTTCGAATTTTGGCACCTCAAATGCGAGTATCAATAATGACAACATCGTGTATGCCACGGAACATTACTTTAAGCAACTCAAATCTGCCTGGGAGTAGTAAAGTTTGTTGTTAGAAAAAGCGATTGTTGAATTGTTTTCACATTCTATCTAGATCCTGAGATACACACGCTTTCTATGATATATAGTTGGTGTACATCCAAAAGTTCATGATTCATGACAAGCGGTTTTTTTATATTTGCTAACGTTTCAAGACTTTTGCCTTACATACCCAAACGTAAGTACGTCTATGTTCGATAGTAAAGCTGCCTTGGCTGGATTCAGCTGACGAAGAACTCAAAGTCAGCTTGACCTTGGCTAGCCATTTGCTAAAAACGCTAACTTGCATGTAGTTCTTACTGAGTTGAAGTGTACCGTAAAATTCTCAACTACAAATTACGGAAATCACCTCTAAATCTCATCTTTTTGCACATCATTTTTGTTAGTCGAAACTATGACGGAAGTGGAAGTTGATGCAATTCAGTAAGCTCAAGCGGCCGTCAGATAGACGTCAGTTCTGCCGGCTTGTAAAAAATGTTAGAATATCGGCTCGACTAAGCTGGCTGGGATTTCTATGTGCCTATTGATTATCACTCATGTGTATCAAATGTTCTACGCCTTCGATCATTGTCATGACCAAGAAACCATTAAACGAAGATCAAGTGTTAGTCGAAAGTGACGGCTCAAAGCTGATTAAGAGGAAAAAAGATTGAAAATACTTTACTTCAATGCTTCGCTTCCTGCATCTTTTGGAAAAGTGTGTTTGAAAAAAAAAAGAAATGATTCAAATAGCGAAAAAAGCTAATGCTGTGATTTTCCATTCGTGACTCAAATGGGTTCAGTAAAAATCTGGTATTGTATAGGTCTACCACCAAAGAAACGCATTTAATACTTGCTGCAAAATTTCAAACGCATTCAGTGCTTGCTGCAAAATTTCAATCCTAGTTGATGCAGTAAAATAGGCGTAAAGCGATTTTTTTCCATAAGAAAAACTAGGTAACTAGTTAGTAAGGAGACTAGACTTCGTAGGTACTTTTTAATGTAGTTGTTGAATATAAAACAGTATGGATGAAGTTTAACGCATCTAGAGAAGAATGTTGGCTTTGGAGTAAGTAAAAGGGAAGCCGAGTTCGTACTAGATATCAAATTGTGGAAAAGACATACCATCCAGATAAGGAGCTTCGAAGTACACAAAGTTACTTATGTTGCATTAGCTCGCAAATCCGACTCCGCTTTGTAATTGATATTTTCGTAATCAGCATGCTCACTTACTCTCCGTGCCATCTTCCAGTAGGTAATACTCCGCAAAAATCAAGAGCGATATCGATCAATGATGAAAAGTATACAACGCTGCCAATCTCCGTCCCGATGTGTATGTGTTAAGTTTGGTCCTCCGATTTGGTTCAGGAAAAGAAAATTTTCATTTGGGACGTACACACATACAGACATAAACAGCTTTATCTATGCAGACAGTTTTCGAAAACGGGAGTATTTAAGCGATTTGACCAGAATGGATAAGCAGGTAAAGGGGGGTGGTTGGTGTAAGTAACAGAAGAAAAAAGATGCTTTGAGAACCATAGAGAAAACAAATGCTTTATATCAAACCTTTTAAATCAAGAAATATGCGTTGTGTTGACTGGGTGCACAATAAGGGAGAAAAAACAATAGTTATTATCCCAGGTGACAAACATTACATTACCCACCTGTGGATCATGTTGTCGTACTCCCACATGGTGGGTCATGGCTTAAATTTCGTTGAAAAGACGCTATTTTGGAATACACTCGTAGAAGTTCTCTTACGCTCTAACCCTAAAAACTGCTCTTGTGCTCTTCTCGCCTGCTTCATAGAATTATTGTGGGTATACTGTACTTGACGATCTCATAATCTTACCTAAAACCTTTCGACATTTCCGTGAAAGGCGTGGTCCCAAGTGGCAAACAACTATTGGGGTAATCTAAAAGTAATGGGGCACCTAAAGGAATAAATGCAGTTTTCTCGAACAGAAACCTCATTGAAAGTCCCATTTTGACAGATGTACAGTACATAACAAAATCTTTCGATCGATAGCAGTGCCGCAGTAAAAGTGTGAGACTATCAAAGATATCTGCAAAGCAATGGGTGAGGACCGTCACCAAATCCACGATAGCCTGGGGTCCAAACGCTCTAGAACAAAAGATATAGCATTGGGTAATAAGATATTTATTCTCTTATCAAGGTAACCAAATGAGCTCACCCTTAAAATGGTTAGCTATTAGATCTCCATAAACTGCCTCTTTTATGCGAAATAATGGAGAATCTTTGCACGAACAAGTAACCGTAAAAAAAGCTTGGAAGGCTTTTCGACTTATATGTCATATGTTTAGGGACTTTAGGGTAGCAGCACAAACTTGGATGGCGTTTAAAAGAGGTCTACCTGACTTCTTCGAAGCGCCGCTCGAAGGATTGTGGCAAAGTGCTGCAAGGTGCTGTCAGGATAACCTGCGAAGCTCACTTTATACAAAAGCGTTCAAATTGCGGTTGTTCATAATTAATCAGAAAGAGACCTCGAAATATGTTCAAAAAATTAAGGTGTTTCATTACGTTTGGATCACCCTAATAAAAACGCACGTTGTCAACGTGTTGAAATAATGTTGTGATCATTATGCAAGACGGATAAAAGCACAGTACGCGCCTTTCTCACAGTGTGTGCCAATGTACGAAGCTCCTGATATTGGTGCCATATTTTGAGAGAAAATCGGAGTACTAGTATGGGTTGCTATATAGATTGTTAGAGAAAACTCTTTAGTTTTTGAGTATCCAGCCAGACATGAAAAAATCGCCTTGTAAGGAAGTTTGTACGGCTACGAAGTCGACGTATGGAAAAGCGATTTTTGAAGGACTGCATATTCTTAGCTGAAACCTGAATGAAAGGTAGTCGAAGAATAATGTACGAAAATACGCCTGTGAACTGATACAGTACTGATTATAATGCTTTCTGGAGCAATGCCGGGCTGCCTAGCTTTTCTTGGCTGAGTTCGCTAGCGTAAACAAGTGGCTCCTCTACGAGGATAGATATTAGTGCATCACAAATGTTATTTCGTTTTTTTGAGCTCCTGATATTAGTGCCATATTTTGAGAGAAAGTCGGGGTGTTAGTAGGGGTTGCTATATAGATTGTTAGAGACAATTCTTTAGTTTTTGAGTATCCTGCCAGACATGAAAAAATTGCCTTGTAAGGAAGTTTGTACGGCTACGAAGTCGACGTATGGAAAAGCGATTTTTTGAAGGATTGCATATTCTAACAAGGAAATGGTCAGAAATCGAAGTGGCCAAATCAAGCTAACTGCACACCATTAGACGCAGCATTAAACGCTGACTCTAAATCTGTCTTCCTTATCTGCAGAGCACTTTTGTGGATGAAATTATAAGCCGTTAAAGGCCATTATTTTGCTAAGAAATTGTGCGTGTAAAGTGCAAGCTTGGCCGTATAAAGCCATTCTCGGCTCGGTGTTGGATCAAAACATGCAACTAGGTCACTTCATATGACTCTTACTTAGAAGTGAGCTATAAGAGCAAAAATGTTCCTGATTTCGCAATTTTTATGTGCGATTATTTCGCAGTAAAGCTGCTCATAACTTCGTCTACAAAGGCGCTCTGCAGATACGGAAGACAGATTTGAATTCAGCATTCTATGCTGCATCGAATGGTATGCAGCTTATATGGATTATCCACTTCGATTTCTGACCATTCCCTTGTAAGCTGAAACCTGAATGCAAGGTAGTCAAAGAAGCAATCATAATGTGCAGTGTATTTAGCAGGGCTACCTCTTCTTTGTGGGCGGTGCAAGGCCGCAAGAAAATTTAGATTTAGTGTACAAAGAGCTGAATTTTTGCAATGCCCTGAAAGGTTGTATACCATATAGATGGGCACTTTAAAGGGATTTCTAGAGCAAATCGTAAAAGCTGCAGTGTAAAATATTTATTAGGCTTATAAGCATCATATAACTTTATTGGAAGCAACTTTCGCAAAAACTTCGTTACAAGATAATTTTAGCAAATAAATACCTCGGATTGTGTGTTAGTGTGACTAGTATCGGATTCGTCGATTGCGGCGCGTTGACTTTGCAATCGTTACTCACGATTCGGTAGTAAACTTCCTTTTTAGCTTAAAATCTTGCCCATTGCAGAGAACATTTTACTACGATCATAAGAAGAGAATCGCGACAAATCATTCACAAGAAGCATCAGAAGCTAACCTTAAATAGACGGTAACTGCAGAAAGGAGTTGAACTTGAGTTAACGTAATCCTGTTGGTCTTGTACGCTACTATTTTGCAAACTGTGTAGCTGTGCAGTGCACTTGGATCAGATTAGTGTAATAAAGTTTGAAGACCGCTGGTGA